ATTCATACGAGCCCGGATCCCATGCCCCAGAAAATGCGCTTACGGTAACCGAGGCGCAGGAAATCGGGCTTCTTCAATTCCTTCAGCTGTTTGTGTTGAGATTCCGCGAATACTTTGAGATAATAATGAAACTTGGTTTGCAAGAGCATCCGCTTGCGTTTCCGGGGAATTCCGTGAATCAACTGTACCGAGAGAGGAATGGTTGGGTGTTGTAAGTCACCCGACGCCGACCACCGCATATGCAGAGCTTTCAGAGGCGAGCCCGATCCGCCCGTCGGTCAGTAATATTTAAAAGCCGAGCGCGGTGGGAATCCAAGTATCCCTTTATATCGAGCTGCGCCAGCCCCGAATACACATTCTATCCGTCGCCGAAAATACGGTTGAACTGCGGGTCGGGCGGAGATTTTTCTAGGAATCATTTTTGACCGCTCTGCGACTTCGGGTTCGAAATCACGGTGGCTTTAGCGCTGACTTGCCCAGGAAAAAAAAATCCCAATGACATGAACAACCAGACGGTTCAGTGAATTACAGTATGGCCGCCCATTGTGCGATAAGCTATATAATGCCCGTACCGGTCCCTGGAGCGAAATCGTTGAGCCAAGCGCGTTCAAGGCGCATTCAAGGCGCATCATCCGTGGCAATGTCATGTTGAAACTGATTATGATGCGTTGCATCATATCAGATTACAATACTTACCGGGCCGTGGACGTGCTGCATTCGCCTTGGCCACCATTGTGGCGGAGGCGCAACGATGGGAAGTGGTTACGGTGGGAGCGCGAGACTCAGCCGTACCTCCATCCATGCTGGGGCGTGGGGATCAGGTCACAGGTGCATCGCAAAGCGGAACATGATACATGCAGCGGCTTCAACATATGATAATGCGGCTGTCGGTAATGGACTAACATCGGATACATAGACGTTGTGTGCGCCTTTTCGGGAGCGCAGAACCTCGCAGAACTGATTTTCGTGCTTCGAGGAAGCGACGGTCGGCGAAGATGCCACGAGTGGACTGTGGGATCCAGAAGACGCTCGGCAAACTAAAGTTCAGAGATGGGAACCTTAGATTTTGGTGTCGGAGGAGCAGAGAAGCGCGAAAGGATCGGCGTCAACGGAGGCACGGGACGCATGATGCAGTCTTCTGCAACCGCTGCGCTGGGCGGGTCGGGGCGGGACCAGAGCGCAGTAACGTCGAAATACTTTAAAGGAGGAGGAGGAGGATTGCCTGCGCGGTCCCAAATTGAAACAGCAGGTAGCCGCACTACATACATGTGACGTCTACATGTACGCTACGGATGCTCAAACGTCGCCACCGGTTTGAACAGGCCCACCCAAGTAACTACACACTTCTGGCCTACAGGGAATACCTATAAGCGGCACTTCAACAGAAACCTCGTCGTCATCAACCAGGAGTCACGAAAGAGTTCTCCCTTTCATCACAAAGTAACTCCCATGGAGAAAGAAAAAATCACAGAGGTGTCCGGGCGAGTGGAATGCAGAGCTGGAGGGTGGGAGAATGGGAGTCCCTTTGCGGAGGCGATTATTGCGATAGCCCACTTGATAGAGCATCTCTCGGCGCGAACGAGCGGACATAGTCGAGTACCCCGAAACAAATTTCGCGCAATTCAAATGAACAGCTCTTGGTATCTGAACGGATACCCTGGATGCGTCCCGTACGCTGTGGCGGCGCATCGCGCGAACGCGTCTGCGCTGATGGGGTAACCCGCGCAAAACCTGCAGCAATTGAGGCAGTCGTGGGAAACACTTGGGCTCCTGCTGGCTCGGCGCTCGGGATGAGATGGAGTTGTAACGCACAGAAACTCCAATCTGCGCTGAGCGGGAAGGTTATTGTGGGTGGGATGGATCGATAACTAGACGACCAGAGATCCCCTTCAACTCGGGCGCTTGTTGAACACAGTGCGCGTCATTGGCCTGAGATATCGGCCCGGGTATTTTTTAACCAGCGTCCCAAACGATGGGTAGGATCGTCGGCAGTCGATAATGGTCGACCGTCGAACGCACCGCGCATTATTGGTCATAGGTACATACTCGGAATTATACTCGCTATGGAGCGCTGCCAGAGATGGGTGCAATAGACAATAATAAAAAACCGAACCAATGGCCACAGCAAGCCTTGGAGCGGGAAAAGGTCTAACGCAGCGCCGGTAATTGGCCAGAGTGTTTGCGCTGCGTCTTGATTCCGCGCGGCAGAGTGGCGCAAACCTGAGGTAATAAGTATGGCGTACAGAATGATGCTGCATTGAGACGAGAATCCAATCCGCCGGTAGCGTCCAGTAGAAGAACTTCGACAAGCGGACGCCTGGTGGTGGTGGTCAGAAACAAGTCAGAAACGTACTCAGGTGACATGTCGGAAGCTCCCGGTACGCGTGATACACATCCGGCTTGGCCCGAAATGAACAGAAACATTCAACCACGGCTGTACTCGCGTAAATCGCCAATAGACAGTGCCAACGGCAACTTCCAAATAGACGCTAAACCACATGCGATTATGCATGTAGAGGATCTGCAGGCGAATTTAGGGGCGTGATACTCGAGTCTCAATGTAAATAAATCTGAAGTGTACAGCTAGATCAGGTCCAAGCGAATTCGAAGCGCCGTTCGGGATTGGGCGGCATTTGAGGCGTGGCGCAGGTAGCGGTTAGTAATTTTATGAATCTTAGGCAGCGTGAGAAGCAAACAGGAAAGTAACATAAGCTGCCAGTGCACGGCGTTTGCCAGATGTATGCACGCGGCACAATCACATTCTGTACGGGGCTTACCGTATGCCTTTTGTCTTAGTTACATACCGCTTTGGAAGTGTTACGCCCAGCTGCTCGAGAATGGGCAAATAAATGATACGTTACTTCCCCCACCCGAGAGAAATGCATCCGCGCGTGTTTGAAAAAGACTGGGATCGCGCGACGGCCTGCGAGTATTCATATGGATTTAGACGCGCATTAACGACGCGAAGACCCCGCGCCTGTCGTGCGCGACCCCGAGGTACTACCTGCCTGTATATATTTGATTATTGAGTCGATGAACATCATGACCGGGTTGTTCGACGTTGAAATGCCAAGATTTCCCCCCCCCCTCCGACGGGATTCAGTAGGCGAGCAGCTTCACTGAACCAAAAGCCAAGTAATTCCCAGGCCTGTGACCAAGGCAGCCGACATCATTCATATTGCAGCGGGCCGACGCGCGGTTCAACCCTGTCGGCCAAATGGTCATCGCGAGTTCAATTTAAACGCACCTAGTTGACTCACGGGGCTTTCGTGTCACCTGAACCGGGAGCTCCCTGACCTGCGGATTCTTTTTCAAAGTCCCTCGGCAGGACCAGAGGTTCAAGTTATTTCGTCGCGTTAGCAGCGGGTAGCCGCCGATACGTAGTTTAACATTTTTCTTCTTCGAGGGGCCCCCTGGTTCAGCCCACCAAGTTGGGTCCGGGGTAGAAAAGCTTGCGGAATCTTATTTTTAAAAGTTGCTTGCCCTGATCCATGTTCAGGGTGATTTTGGCTGTGGTTGGGAGGTGTACGACATAAAAATTATTTATAGTTGCATTGCGTTGATACACATACTGCCGGTGTGAATTTGACATGAGTCGCGTGGACACAGACAGATACTGTTAACGTTTTTTTGGCACCACAAATATAATTTTGGTTTGAACACATTTGCAATTCCTGCTGTTTGTCATCACCCGTTGGCTTCAACGTGTAGTAGCACGTATACTCCCTTCGACGTTTCGGATAACGATTTATTTCTTGGTGGACCTGAGCTTCAATCTCGCGCCTCGGGTATCTCGGGCGAGCGGTTGAGCGAACACAACTAATTGAATCGGGATTCCTGTATCAGGTGGTGGGAGCAACTAATTTTAATTGGGTTGAAGGCTTCTTGTTAAGTTCGGGTCCCGGAAAACCAGGAGCTGAGGATCAGGAGAGAAGGGATAAGGTGGAAAGTAACCCGAACCAGATGAGCTGTCAATGAGGCTGAGAGGAAAACCCGCAATTAGTTCAATGGACATCAATCACAGAAAGGACTTACGATTTATCGGCGGTCGAACGCTTGTACCTATCTATAGAGGGAATGGAAACCGAATTGGCTCGAATTTGAACCCGTAGTGGAGCATTTGGGAATAGTTATGGGCGGGCAGGGCATGCTGCTCTATTTCAAGTTGACTTGATCGCAGAGGCGGGTGCAGTGGTTTAGACAGCTGAGACCGAGTGCGCTAGATTGGAATCTGGTTTAAATATGATTCGATAGGCATACTGACGCTGTGATCGAGTCAAATGGAGAAGGGTGGACCAGGTTGCATATACCAAGAGTGGTGAGTTGCATTGATGTTTATGGGGTAAAGTAGCCTGATTCAGTCTTTATCTGTTGCTGATGATCTTCACTTGTTGGCATTTTGTCGAGCCGAGTGAAGTTGACGCAAGATACACATGTCGCAGACTGTCGGCGGTCTCTGTGAGCGTTGAGGTAAAGGTATTGTGTGTGCTCAGTTGCCACTCTCGACAGTTGTTACGTTTCGTTCTGCCTTTGAATCACTGGGCAGCAATTACCGAAGGCAAAATTATCCAACACTTTAGAATTCACGCTCGATGCCAACTCTTATATCAACTCGAGTCTGGCCTTTGGAGACAAAACCTGGTGGTGTAACTGATAACATACCTACTGCTTCTACAGTTTCAGTTCGTTCTAAATTAAGTGGGGGATCCTCGTTCGATTCGGGGTCAGGTCGGTGTATGTTTTTCTCTTTTTATTCAAAGTCTGTGTTTTCTTACTGAGGAGTTAAAACAGTATCATCTCCATGAGATGTGACTCGCATTTTTTAGGGGCAGTTTGTTTTGTTTCCTTGTGATCGGTGAGTTGATATTGATGCATGGAGAATATTTCTTTCGACTCGCCACTCTCCGTGTGCACATGAATCGGTGTTCTCAGCTGGATGGTGGAGTCGGATGGTTGAAATCATCAAAAAGGATGGCGACGACGCAAAAAAGCCAAAACTATTCCCGCTAGCCGAGTTGAACGACTGACCTCGTCATGTGACAACTTTGTACTAGTGACGCGCTCTACCAACTGAGCTAAGAGGGACTTGATGTTTGTGTCCCACAACACAACTACCATCCCCCAAGAGGATACACCCATCCTTCAACCACACCGCAATGAAATCAAACAGCCGTACACCGTTCCGCGCCTACCAACTGAGCTAAGAGGGACTTGATGTTTGTGTCCCACAACACAACTACCATCCCCCAAGAGGATACACCCATCCTTCAACCACACCGCAATAAAATCAAACAGCCGTACACCGTTCCGCGCCTACCAACTGAGCTAAGAGGGACTTGATGTTTGTGTCCCACAACACAACTACCATCCCCCAAGAGGATACACCCATCCTTCAACCACACCGCAATAAAATCAAACAGCCGTACACCGTTCCGCGCCTACCAACTGAGCTAAGAGGGACTTGATGTTTGTGTCTCACAACACAACTACCATCCCCCAAGAGGATACACCCATCCTTCAACCACAGCGCAATAAAATCAAACACCTACACATTGATGTTGTCATTCACTGTCCTCCACTCCATCCCCCAATGTCTCTCCTGGCACAGCCCAACCATGCCGCAATCAAATAATGTGCCCCTAATCCATCCTGTGGATCCACAGGTTGGATACATCTATATTAGGGGAAGTCAGAGTCGACAATTCAGGAACGATTCTGGATCGATTCGTATTCCGATTCTGAGAGCTGAATCGTTGCAGAATTGACGGCCTTTTGGGGTGGTCAAAGCTGCAAATGATTCTGCGTCGAAACAAGATACAATTATGAAACCATCAAAAGATTACATCTATTCGATTCTGCGTGTGTTCCTCCTCTGGAGGAGGAACAGCGATTCTGCTTCAATTCTGCGAAACTCGATTCTCGAACGAAACTCAACAAGAATCGAAACAGAATCGAAGCCCGAATCGAAGGAGAATCGACGTGAATCGTCAACTCTGACTCCTCTATTATTGTTTACAACCCTCATGTTTATTCAGAAACCATTGCATGTCTGTATCAACACCTTCAATTGAATTGAATTAAACCCACTTTGTTTGGCTTTGAGAGACTGACAACTTTGAAGGGAAGGAGGGATCAGGATTTTTTGAATGCACTGCCTGGTAGGGCTTTTCCTCAACCTAATATATTGATCCAGTGTCTGGTAAGCCAGGTTCGAACCGTGACCAATATTGAGTACCTGAGGTGCAGAATGATTTTACCTCCCTTCCATGGAGTAGAATTGTAACCTGATGGTGGAATGGTTAACAGTGAACACGCCAATGTTTACCGTTGGTGATTTTATGCAGTATATGTTGGAGATCCTCGTTCAATTCGAGGTCGGGTCTGTTTCTTTTGCTGAAGAGCTGTTTTGATTCCAACTCTTTTCCGTTGCTGTACTGCTACCTGATCTGGTAGGATAATTATGACCCACTTAGACTGGTGCAAGGGTCAACACGCCGACATTTGTCAGGTCAAAGTGGAAATACGCCGGAGATCCCTGTTCGACTCGGGGTTGGGTTCTTCACCTTTTTCCCCCTTCTTTTTTTTTCTGCTGAGGTTACTTAGACTGAGGTTACTTAGACTGTTATTACACCCCGTTCTGCAAAGTAGTTGCGACCTGATGGTGTAATGGTTAACACACTGACATTTACTACGCTCGAATTCCGAATGCTCATGTATGCCGGAGATCCCTGTTCGATTCGGGGTCAGGTTATCTTTTTTGCTGCTTCTTTCAGCCAATTTTTCTTCCCAGCGAGTGCCTTGGTCGTTGTAGATCTCAACCCAATCATATCGAGCTAGCATCGGCAGCCCGAGATCGCCGAGCGGCGTGTTCAACCCTTCTGCAATTCAACAAATTCAACCCTCGAGTGTGGGCACATGCAGTAAATTCAGCCATGTATAGACGTTCAACTTTCAACCGACCGTGTCCGCTGTGGCCAGGGCCCACCATACCGACGGACGGGCGGAAATCTCGAGGTCTGACGCGAAAAATGTAGAGGCAGTCCCACGAATTTATTTGTTTGAAAAGCATACAGATTGAAATCGTTGATTTAATCGCATTGCGAGAAAAAGATATGCATCCGTCACGTACTTGGTTGGCTGGAGTGACTTAGGCCGTCTGGCGGTATCTTGAGGATATCCAACTTGTCAGTGATAAGCATACTCAGTGGTGGGTACTCACCATTCCCCTTTCTCTGCCAAGATATATCTTTGCCACCGTTCTCTGCCAATCTTCGCCACCGTCAGCGCCTGCACGAGAAAAACACCCGACTGTCAGTATCGCTTGGCTGTGTCAATTATCATGATACATAGCATAGCGAGAAAAGTTTTTATAGCCGCTGGCAGAGATGTCCCGAGGGTAGGAATCCAATCTGGACCGCAAGCCTCGGTTGTTTTCGTTCCATTCAGGATCCTTCAAGGGAATGGAATAGATCGAACCATAGCTGGGTCCTCACACCTTTACAAAAAATCACCGAGATCGTCATGAAAACGGAACCATTCAATGAGAGCACGCGGGATTTCCAGACGTGGGATTACTTGTGCCTGGGCTTGTGCAATGTGGTCGCGATCGCGTGGCTGATGTGTTTTGTAGAATTTTCACAGAACACGATCACGGGCGTATGTAGAGTGTTAGTAGACAGTGTAGAGAGTAGTAGTAGCAGGTTGAAGGTAGAAAGCAAGAACGGGGTCGTGTTTTCTGTTGGCAGGTGCAATTTTTGAAACCCTAACCCTACATCCAACGTGCTGGCGGTTGACGACGACGACAATGCCTATCAAGCACCTCGAAAGTGCGTTGTATATTCTATTATATGGACCATTCTAACAGCAGATAGACTTCCTGCTGGAGCGCAAGCACCTGCAGACGCTGCCGCTGTCTGTGCTGTCGGACTCGCGTCTGGGCATCGACGCCAGCTACTACCTCTCCCAGCTCACTGACACGCCCCCTGCGCGCGAGCCGCTATTAGCCGCGACGGGCGGGCTCCCACTCGCGCTCACCCAGCGTATTGAGGCCGATTTGCGCACCCTTGAGCGCCTGCGCATCAAGCCCGTCTTCGTCTTCCCTGGACTCACCCCGAATCGGCGTTGGAAGACCCAGGGCGGCGGCGGGTTCCCGGGCAACAATAACGGCCCCAACAATGCCGGAGGGATGAACATGAACATGAATAACATGAACAGCATGAATAGCGGGAATGCGAATGCGGGGCCGACGGCGCCGTTTAATTACGGTCAGGGAACGCAGGGCGGAGACACGGAGGCGTGTCGCGACCGGAGGGACGCGTGGGCGAAGTACGAGGCGGGGCAGGAGGAGGCGGCGACGAAGCTGTTTGAGGGACGGAGTGCGTTTGCGCAGTGGGATTTGTGGCGCATGGTTCTCCGAATCTTCCGCCATCGCAACGTCGAGTTTATTGTCGCGCCGTATGTCGCGTGGGCGCAGGTGCGATTGTCTCATTTTTTATTCTGATAGTTTTTTTCTCATTATTTTCCAGCTCATCTACCTCCAACGCCACCCGAAACAGTACATTCACGCCATATTCGGTCCAACAGACACCCTCCTCTACCCCGGCGTCGACAAGCTCATTACGAGCTTGGATCTGTTTTCGAATGTTAATGCGGGTCCGGGTGCGTTTGCGTTCTTTTCTTGTAATATCTCCACGAGGAAGGTGTATGTGTGCGGGGCACTAGGTTCGCGGGCTGAGCCCGACGGAAATTATTGAGTGCCGCAGGTATAGCGTTACGCTGCGATGAGCCCCCATACCCCTGCGGCACTTCTCTGCGCGATTTTGAGTTCGCGCGTCTTCCTCTTCCTTTTCTCATATTCTCGCAACCTGTGCTTCGGTCCGACTAACTAACGTTCCTTCCTTTCTTACCAGGCTCCTCCCCCTCCCTCACCTCCCCCTCCCCTTCCGCGTCGACGAGCGCCAATGCTAACAGCGCGACGACCCCGACGTTCACCTTCCTCTCCAAGCGCTCTTTATTGGCAGACCCGCTGCTGGCGCTTGCAGAAGATCAGTTCCTGGACGTGGCGCTGCTCCTCGGGTGCGCACACAGCGCGCCGTTCCCGCCGACGGTGCATGAGATGGGGTTGAAGGTGTGTGTCTTTTTTCTTCCTCCTGCATACTTTTTCACCTCAAGATATGATGCTGACGAAACCGCACAGGCCACCGTCGACATGGTCAAGTACTACAAATCCGGCTTTGCCGCTGTGACCGCGTTCGCGGAGCACCCCGCCGTCAAGACGGTCGGGTATGGGGAGCACTATGCGAGAGCAAGGAGTATGGTGCGTGTTTTTTTTTGACATATCTATAACTTCATCCTGGGGAGTCGTTTGAATATCTCATTTGGATATTTTCATCATCCGCAGTCGTATCATTACTTTCCGCGTGTTTTGGCCCTTTCTCTCTCCTTCTCTTCTTATCCCGTCCTGTTGACACCCTTGCTAACACCCTCCCCCCAGGTCCGCTACTCACTCATCCTCTCCGCCGAGGGCGTCGTCCTACCGCTCCCCATCGCCGTCACCGCGCCCTTTCCGCCCAGCGGGGGTAGCAATAATAACCAGGGGGGTGGGTTTGGTGGTGAGTCGAGTTTATTTTCTTCGTATCTATTTTTTTTTCTTTCTGCTTCATGGTGTGGGTTTTACTGGGGCGAGTGTCAAGGCGGGAGATGTATACTCTTGCTGCAATGCCTACGACGCGTTGATGAGGAGCTTTAATTTTCCGCCGAGGGATTAAATGTATTAAATAAACGAACGCTAACAAGCACGACAGGCGTCAGCGCGGCGGACGTGCCGACGGACTTGCACGAGGTGTTCACGCATCGGCTGCCGGATGAGGTGTGTTTTCGTTTGTTCACTTCTACTCCATCCCCCTTGCCACCAAAATGCCCACACGTTCTTAAAACCCCATTTCTAACCTAAAATAATAAATACTAATCCTCCTTCCCAGGTCTTCTTCTACCTCTCGCGCGGGCTGCTTGGCCCGCAGGCGCTCGTTTGGCTCACGGGCGGGCAGATCGCGGAGGGCCCGCCGCTCGACAACGGCGAGACGACG